TATCTGTTTCATAGTTCTTTGACAGACAGTTACTTATTCTATGTAGTTGCTAATGATATACAATTTGTCAGTTAGCAGTCATGTGATAACAATATTAATGCATTATGTCACTCTTGTTTCTCTATGTTTCATCTCTTTCATAAATGACACAAAGAAAATAAATCTAATATTTTCCTTTTTATATGGAGAGGCATACTTGTCCGTGTTATAAACTCTTATCAAGCAATAATTATTTCATGTCTTCAAACTTTTAGCTTTTCTATATTAGATTGGAAATTTTCATTTTCTTTTTCTCTTCTTTTTGTTTATTTATAAGATTAGTGCTCAACTTATCTTAGGCTACTGCCGACTCATTAAACTTCCTTTCTTTTTTCTTTTTTTTTTTTTTTTGGTAAGAATGCCTATTATTGATAAATTGAAGGACATGGGAACAGTTGTTATGGGCAAAGTAGAATCTGGAAGTGTTCGTGAAGGTGATAATTTGCTGATAATGCCTAATAAGGTAATAACTGTAATCCTTATCCATATATTTTGGTTAAGCAGTTTCATGCTTTCTGTTTGTAGAAGAAAATTTATATCATGATCAATTGGCTGTTTCTTCAGGTTCAAGTGAAAGTCCTAGCTATCTTCTGTGATGAAGACAAAGTGAGGCGTGCAGGACCTGGTGAAAACTTGCGAGTCAGGGTATCTGGAATTGAGGACGAGGATATTGTAGCTGGTTTTGTTCTTTCTAGTGTTGGTAGGTTTCTAGGGGTTTTTAATGAAGACATGTGCAATGTGTCTCTCCCTTCTTTTATGCTGCATCAAGATGTTAGTTGACCTGTGGAAGTTAAATAGCAACAACTCACTGTCAGTGGGACTTGAGAAGCCTGTTGAAACAAAATCTCAATTTTCGTACTAGTATTTAAACTTGTTAGGTGAAATGCAACTAATTTGGTATTATTTGGTATTAGTGAAGGATAGCGTGTAAAAAGAAGTGTGGTGATTAGGTCTGGGTCAGTAGGAATCAGTTATATGGCATGATTCTGTAATTGTTTGCTCTTTAGTGAAGTTATTTAGTCAAATATGGATTTAAAGTAACTATTTTTACGAGTTCCACATCTGTCTCGATGTGTTATATATTCACGTCAGTGTGAATATTTGGATTTAATGTTTCTTCAGATATTCTTTCCTTATGAAGACAATCCAATGGAAAATCTATATTTATTTTTTGCAGCAAATCCAGTACCTGCTGTTTCTGAGTTTGTTGCACACCTTCGGATTCTGGAGCTGCTTGACAACGTATGTTATAAAATTTAATGTAGTTGTGGTTTGTTTGTCTTATTATTTTGTTTATTTTTCAGTGTGTTTTGGAAACTCATGTAAGATCAGTGCTCATAGTGCATATTGTTAATAAACTATCTATCATTTCAGGCAATTTTCTGTGCAGGCTACAAGGCAGTTTTGCACATCCATGCAGTAGTGGAGGAATGTGAGATTGTTGAATTAATGGAGCAGATAGATCCAAAAACCAAGAAGCCTATGAAAAAGAAACCCCTTTTTGTTAAGAAAGATGCTTTCGTTGTCTGCCGGGTTCAGGTCTGCTGTACACAGTTTGCTGCATGTTTTTGTTTGGTACATTTGTTCTGTTTCTGGGTAACTGATTGTAGGTTAAAACTTTACCAAATTGATACGATGCAAGTGACTCAGATTTTGCTCTCATTGTATATCAGGTTAATAATACGATATGCATTGAGAAGTTCTCTGATTTTGCACAGCTTGGACGATTTACTCTTCGTACAGAAGGTCAGAGGAATGTTGTGTACATTATGTTACTCGGGATCTTCTGGATTTCTTGCTTCTTTAATAAGATTTAATGACTTTCATGTTTGCCAGGGAGAACTGTTGCGGTTGGAATAGTAACTGATCTCCCTGCTGCAAGTGGTGCATAAGCAATTTGTCATGCAAGGTCTGTACATCTCTGACTTAGTTCTCATGCCAAAATTACTTTTTTCCTCTGTAATTTAGATGCACCCTCCTTGAAGGATGGCCATACTGATCATTGCCTTCACCAGTCACCACAGATTAAGAAATTCATGTAATATACTTTAGTAAAATGGAGAGCAACTGCCTTATCATGGGAAAAAAAATTAAAACCTCAAATTAGCAAATATATTTGAACAAACTTGTATAGTGATCACAACTTACAAGTCTCAAAATTACGGATTTTTTACATGTTTAATTGTTTACTACACTTCTTATTATTCATTTATTTATTTATTTATTTATTTTTTTGTAAAATTACGGCATTCATAAACAGTGAAAGTTAGTATGTTTACAATTAAAATAAAAACTTTGTCAATTTACAAATAAAAAGAGATTTGTAGGTGAACAGATTGTAGCCTTGTACCGTTTCCATGTTCCTTGAGCGGTCTTGATATCTAACAATCATTATTCGCAGGTACCTAGAGTAATTTCGAGAATGTTGTACTCAATGCGACAAGATGCAATTGGTTGCTCCATTTGTACTGTCACTAGGGTCTAATGGATTCAGATGGTTGTGAATGTTGCCCGTTGTAGGGTTATTTTTTTTGCCATATTTAGAGTTTTAGAGTATAAACTGGGACATGTACAGGAGAGGTGGTCGACTTGATAGATATGCTCTAGATCATTCATTTGCGTTGCCTGTGGTCGTGTTGATAATTATTAACTCGACGAAGATATATAAAAATTTATTGAACTGGTGAGTGAACAATAGAATACTGATAAATTATTACCAAGTACTATAAAGTAACCGGCACACTGCTGGCCCTATTGTTGTTGTGTATTGTGTATGTATTTATTTGCAGTGAACAATAAAAATGTGGAAATGGAAAGGAATTCCTAAAGAGCAATAACTAAATGGAGAAGATGGAAGAAAATGTGGATGCTGAAGTTAAAAATAAACATAAGCATTTTCTGTGGAGGTCCTTGAGAGGTGCTCTACCTACTGCAGATAACCTTAGGGATGAGGAATATTGCTGTTGTGGGAATCTGTTGCATGTGTGGTTAGAGGTGGCAAGGGTCGGCCCGACCTGGATTTACGGGTCTTGGAACCGGACCAGTGGTAAAACCGGGCCTGTTCCGGATATAATTTTTTTTTTTTTTTGACCCACCGGTTTCAAGTCTGGAGATTTTATTAAATCGGCCCCTAGATGTAACCGGGCCGATTATGGGTTGAGCTTTAAGGTCCGGCGACCCACTGAGCCGGGCTAGGTCGTGAACCGACCCGGCTGATGGCCATGTTTATGTATGGTGTGGAAAATGAATTTGTAGACCACCATTTCCTTTTGTGTGAGGGCGAAAACAATCTGGAAAATCTTCCCAAACTCTTGGGAATGTAAACTCACACGATTATATCAAAATAATAATTGTGTATATTCTACTAATAATTCAACTACAATTATTCTCTTTTTTACACTTTTGTATAACAGTTTTTCTAATTTTAATAAATTGAATGTATGGTAAATATGTGATAACATAAAAGTTGGTTTTTTTTTTTAAAAAAAAGTACATATAATATATGCTTAGTGGGAAGAAAAAAAAAATATCAAAACTATTAGTATTGAGTCATGAGTTGAGAGAGCCGTCAATCTAAATTTGCTACGGTAAGGTTTGAAACTTTATAATTCATATTGCACTCTAATTATATATCATTTTATAATACAATTCTGTTTTTTATGTACATTATATTAAATCCATGATTATTAAAAAAATATATATAGTCCCCTCAAAAATGAAATTTTGGAAGCTTCTTGCTTTTTTTTTTTTTTTTTTTTTTTTTTTTTTTTTTTTTTTTTTTTTTTGTTGTTTTTTGTTTGGGTGCTTGAGGAGTGCTTTTGTGTTGTGGCAGCTTCTTAGTTTTGTTTCTTTTTTCTTTGTTGTAGTGACCCTTGTTGTCTGGTTTTTTGGGCTCTGGTAGCTTTCTTGTTAAGGTTTTATTTAGTCCTGAAGTTGGTTTTTTGTTTGTTTTGTCTTTTTGGTTGGCTTTTGTGCTTGTCTTATTTCTCCTTGGTTGGCCAATACTCTTAACTACTGACACTAAATAATTTTTTAGAGCAAAACACCCTAATTGGTCACAAGATAATTGTTTTGCATATTGATAGTAACACGTGAACTCCAGAGAAACGAAGTTAATAATATGTATGAATAGCAACAACACTTAAATAAGTTGTTGACAAATTTTAGTGTTCCTGATTCAATTTACTTTCAGAAAGTTTGCTGCAAATGTTAAATCACCTGCCATCACAGTCACTACAACAAAAAATGATACTAAATATCTCGGTTTTGCTATGGAACAATCGGATGATTCGACTTAAGATTCCATACATAGTTATTCACAAATGGTATATTGACACGTATACTACAATAACATATATTGGACATGTTTTAGTACATATAAAATTACCCCTTGTTGGGAGAATGTGTAAGCCCAAAGGGTTGTGTATTTGTACTGGTTTTAATTATATATATATATAATATTAAAATGCACCAGCTCTAACTTAGAGTGAGCAGATTCCTTATGAATCAACTAACCTAGCAGCAATAATTTACTTTCACCAAATAACCAAAGAGGAATTATTGCCTATGTGCACAAATTGGCTGTTTGAACAAACGAGTCGTCTCGTTTAACGATCAAGACCACTTGCGCAGGTCCTTTTCGTCCAACTAAAATGACAAATTTACACAATAAAGATGCCCAATCCCATATATACAGCTAACCAAAAAAGTAGTAGTTTGTGAGAAATATGATCTCTCTGTTGCTGCTTCACATTAGCCAACTTTCGACCGGCCTCCAAATGTACCTCTAATGAACGCAAGATGCTCAACGAGACGAGGTTCCTTTGAACAGCGTATGAGTTTTTTTCAGTCCATGACAAATCTGGCAACTTGAATAATATATACTCCATTGACTAAATAAAGGAGTTGTGTTGCTGCTTCACACTTCAAAAAATCTCTTACTGGACAGTAAATGGCACCTATCAACTTAAGTCGAAACCAGCCTCTGAATTTATAGCATACAATAATTTCTCCTCCATTTGCTGTTTGCTGTATGAACATGACATCAGCCCCACATAATTATGCTAACAACAGTAAAAATACAGATGTAATCCAATTAAATCGAGTTTTTTCACAATTCAACTAAACCTCAAGGGTAGACAAATAACAGGAGGCACTAGACACTCCCAGGCCCGGAAATATTACAACTACTAATTCAGAGGTTCTCAGCTACGAAAATTTTCATACATGAATTGGTGAAAACGTTGAAAAAGCTAAACTACTAACCTTCTGTAAGGAGGGAGTTTAAGAAGGTTCATACAAGTGGAAGATGTTGGCAATCGGTCAAGAGCATCTTCGGATGCATTACCAGCTGTCCTGTTGTTGAATAAAATAGAATATTTTTCAAATAACGAAAGAAAACAGACGAGATTCAAGGGTCGTTGATAAGGACCGGCAGACAATGGCAACAGTGTTACCTCTGTACGCAGAACGTAGGGTCCAGATACTCAAAACCAAGCAAAGGTCCACGAGAACATCCAGTCGCAAACCTGAGACAGCACAGAAAAAGAGTCAATGTTCTCGAGACCAGTAATCTGAAATTTGAAGAATAATTCAGCTGACCAGATACCATATTTTTTTGCTGGATAATAATTATTAATTAAAATTTAATACAATTGCATTAAACGTTGAACCATTTACGTGGACCGATTAATTTAAAAAGAATGGATTCTACTGACATCCCCTTACAATTAGATAAAAGGATCTTAAGACCTAAATTTGAAGCCCCAAAAGGCCAAGTTCAAACACATTAATTAGAAACATGTAGCTACCATCACTTAACAGTGAAATGAAGAACTATTCACAGGTGAAGGAATGAAGTAAAGTAGAAACGTAAGCAACCGAAACAAAGTAAAAGAAAGCATTGCACATTTTTTTCGGTAGAAGTTTGATCGGTTGAATGGTGTATAAGACTATTAAACCAAATTAATAATCAAATCATGTAAATTATGACCAAGTTATGTTTCTTCTGCTCCATGTGGCATACAAAGCAAATTCTCAGTAAACGGTGATATGGCCATACTTCAAAAATTTCCTCTGATTTGCCAGGCTAAGGTTCTGAATAACTTCCCAGAACATTCCAACAACATAGTGATCCTGCCAAAGTAGTTGTCACATATTAGAAAGATACGAATCTTCACAACCAAAAAGATAAAAACAGAAAAATAAAAAAGAAGGCAATGAAAGAAATATGACAGATCAGTCTGTAAAACACTGATAATTCAATATGAGAGACCACAAAAATAGAAAAGAATACTACACAACTTACCTCATGATATCCACCGCCATAGTTAGTATGAGCTTTGAGATCATTAACATCAAATCCATCTACTGATCCAGATATTAGAAGCTGGGGCAGTTGAAAGCAAAGCTTTTATAAACGAGTGCTAGCATCAAAGAAGGAATTTCTTATAATAAGTATGGCTTATGCTTTTGGAATACATATGAACCACAGGCATTTTAAGTTGCGTAAACTATTCAGATATACAGTGTTACAATAATGTTTTTATAATTTCTTTTCCCTTTTTAAGGCGTTAACAGAATCTATTCCCATCCCTTATCCAGTATGGCTACATAGGTTTGCATGTGTATGAAAGAAAAATATTATTAAGCATTTGACCACCGAAGTGAAACTAAGTAATATTAAGTACAGCTCCCATCATCACTACTTAAAGCATTGCTATTGTCCAAGATAACAAAAGAATACCTGAATTTCGTGCTCATTGAACATGTCAATCCACTCTTTCTTAATCAGCTGTTGGAAACCTCTCAGAAAATGAGAACTTTGTTGGCGTATCTGCACTTAACAATAATGAGTAATATATCAAGATTCTACAAGAGCTTATGACTCAGATAAAATCATTTTGAGTCACGATACAGGCAACTCCTTCAGCACCACCATAATCTTTTCTACATAATTTTTATAAATCTCTCGTTTCCTCATATTGTATTAATGCTGGGACAATGATTGTGTTCCAAATGTCATCTAATCTTTTTGGTACCTTGCGGTTTGGTTGATAGGAGATTTGAATAGTTACAACAAAAATTTTAACACTGTTTACTACCTGAAAATTCAAGCGATGGTTAGCCACTAGATGAATAAATGTGATGACATTCTCATTCGTGACTTGGATGTTTTTCCCTCCTGGAAGAAGCTCTTCTTCAGTTTGCTCCCCATATTCATTGTTAACAATTACAAAGTAAAGCTCTAACTCAGATATGTCACCCGTATAACGCTGAAAATCATTGCAGAGAAAGCCGTAAAAATAAAACCAAATATCAATTTGATACTTTATTTAATTTACGAGAAAACAAGAGGCATATCTAGTTCAATTAAATCAAATTCTAGTGACTAAACATTATAGGAAAATTGATTAAATTGTAATAAAGAAAATGGCTGTACCGGCACAAAAAAGAAAAAAAATGACATGGAAGCTAAACATATATAGCACAATTCACCTTTAGAAAGATCAGATGCCGATACAATTCTGGATCCAAGGACGGCAAATCATTCAAGTAGTTGTACCTGAGAAGAAAGATATAAATTGCACCTCAATGAAGTAGGAAACGGCCCATAGGAACAAGTCACTGGAGACCCAGTTTCGGGAAAAAATGTCCCTAATACACTCAATGATTTCAAAGCACTACGTACTTCTGCTTCAATTTGCTTAAGAAGAACGTCGCAAATGGAATATCGACCAAAATCCCTTCATACATTGCCTACAATAAACATATCATGTTACTGCAATGCTAAAACATCAATGGAGTAAATTCTAGACAGTGAGCTACAAAGCTTAAACATCAATGGAGTAAAATTTTAAGCATGCAGCGAACTGAAATGTAATATGTCAATTCGTAAATGGTATTAATTTTCCATGCAAAAGTATGAACGAAAAAAAATAAAAAAATGATGTAAAGGTGATCCTTCCTCGTAATATAAAAATGAAAGAAGATTAATGCACCCATTTTTATCAAACAACGAATCCTACTTAAAAGCATAAGAAATTCAGTTTCAATCATTACAGTTTTCCACTGTCATCATAACTTGAATGTGAGACACGTGTCACATAAAAGGCCTAAATTTGGCAACAAATTGAGGCAATAGCAAGCAGTTACATGGTTTCATTCAACTGAGTCACATTAAACAATCAAGAGAATATCCGTCGAACATTCGTCCTATTCTATTGATCTATAAGGTTTAATATGACGCACGTTAAAAGAAAACATCTGGTAGAGTAGCCAGACATATCTATAAATAAATCCAACGCCCATAGCAATGCATGCAAACATAGAAGCTTCATGGTCAGAAACAATCGCAGGCATCCTTCTAACAACTCAGACAGTAGTTACCAACAGTACTGAGGAACTATTGGTCAACAGTTTGATACCTTAGCAAGAATCGAACCAAGGAAGTGAAAAAACTGAAGATGCTGTTCATGTATCAGTCCAGATCCAGGATTAGGATAGAGGAGATGATCAGCAGTTTCCTAAAGATGAACAGTCAGCCAAATATGAAATACAGTATACAAATTACTAAAAAATAACAAGATATTTACACAGTTGTATATATAACGATAATATATAGTATATAGTCAATCGTATTTATTTTGTACCAAGCAGTTAATGGGGAACATGTATCACATGCATATGAAATGATTGATCAGTTTCTAGTAGACTATGTTGTTCATCACACTGACTAGAGTTGTTTAATGTTTAAACTTAGAGAGAAGGAAACACAAATCTTCCACTAAGATATAAATCATGAGTTCTGACACCTCCTCCTAGTTTTCAATCTTGATCATTAAGAGACCAAGTCAATGAGCATTAATATAACGTGCAAAGTGGCATATCAAAGTAGGTGCTGACCTTGACGCTATAAAATAATCGACAGTCTACTACTTTTTTTTTTTCCAAGAGATGGGAAAAGACCGAAAGAGTAATGTTGCTTAGATAGAAGAGGTTTGTCATACTCTGGGTTGACTTGGGAGCATGTTTCAGGCTGCTTATTTCATCATATAATCACATGAACGAAGCTATCAATATCTACGCATGCAAATCAAAGAAGACGTTGTGGCTAAGAAAATCATTATCATTATGTATAATCACAACCTTAAATAGTCCATACTGCATATCAAATGCAACCCGGGTAATGTTCTCCATGAAATCTTTGAAAATCCCACCACCATCGATGCCTGCCTCCTCGGCTCCAAATTCATTAACAAAGGTAATTCGAATCTGAACATATCGAAGCAGAACAGAAAATATCAGCTAATTAGTAAAGAAAAATTTCTTCCCTAACATTATTATACCAGTTAGGGAAGAACAGCAAAGAATGAGAAACTCACCACTCCACGAAGAACACCTTCAGTTAACGTATTTAATTGGCTAAAAGCATCCTCAAAAATATGATCTCTTCTTATTTTGTATCTGGTTGTAGTGATAAAATTATGATCATCAGCGTGTCTTGCTGTCTTATTCGCAAGTTGCAACTGCAAGTTCAGTTTACCATTCAATAATGGACTACAAAAATCAAGATGAAATATAAATCCAGATGCCGACAGTTCATACACTACGTAACAATAGTTAAGAACTCAATTATGAAAAAGAACTTAAAAAATACAATGGGCCAGAACACTAACACTAAATAGTTTAGCTCTGCTTGTAAATGGAATCAAGAAGGGAGCTTGTTTTAAAATGTCATTGGCTCTTGTATTCTCCATCATAGCCTGGTAGAATCGCACATTAATGGCCAGTCAGTTGGGTGTTAACTTCTGGACATCAAAGACAGCAAACAGAACAGTTACCTGAGACATAAATGAATCACTGCCGCCATCCGTGTTGAAATCATTTGGGGAGGTAAATTCTCTCCTGTTATTCCAGTCTTGCAACTAGAAAATAGAAGTCTTCACTGTTAGAGAAATTTAAAAATGGCGCATACTTTTCACTTTTGACATAATTAAAGTTGAGAAGATAGAAGTAAATAGAATTTCAAGAGCATAATCAAATTTATAAACCTCATCGCATGTACACTACTACCTGTGACATGAGCTCAGAAGCAGCAACTGAAAACCTGTGTTGAAGAAATTCTTTAGGGTATTTCCTCATAGCAGAGGGACCATCAGCAGAATTTGAGAAGTTGGGAGTCTCATTGGGGTTGAGCCAAAGAATCTGCCACAATGCCTACAAAAAAGCAAATCCATGTGATATAATAACACGTGAAAATAATAGTTGAACCAGCAGCAGTTAACATAACCACCAAAATTCTACAATCAATTTCCCTAACATACTGCCCAGATGCAAGGATGTATATCATTCTATCAGACCTTCAGTTTTGGACAGAGTGAGTTAGTATTTCTCATGAAGTGGAGTTTGATAGAGTAAATCATATGGTGTACTGAGCTTTTACCTGTCGTAGGATGACAATTAACAATCTGATGTCTGTTATAGATAGAGGCTTCTCTTGTTCATAGAACTCCTCATTATCAACTATCGTTAGCATATGCCTGATCCAAAAAAAATCATTAAGGCCATCAACTCATCCTGAAGATGAGCCAACTTGCACAAGGAAATATATCGGTGGCTGGAACTTACATATTACAGCAAATAATTCTTACTTGTAAACCGGGCAAAATACAGCGAAGGGTAGTAGCCAACCAGGTGTATCCATGGGCAGATAAACTGATTGCTCGGACAAGGCAGACCACATATCATTCTCATGACATCTCTTAATGAAGTTCCATAGAACAGGAACCAAATTTGTCCTGTATGCTAGCACAGTCATAATTCGCTCAAGGGGCAATATGTTGAAAGTCACATGCAGAAAAGAACAAGCTGCAAAAACAGTAGCCAACTCGGTGTAATCAGGCCTTTCTTTATGTGAACCACTTGTAGGAGTCCCTCCCAACAGCACATTTGTCTAAGGAAATTATTAACAATACACTTTAAGAGTACATACAAAATATTATACCAACTGATCTGAAGAAATGATGCAAGAAGAGTGCATACCAATTGTAGAAGAAAGCGTGGATCTAGGGCATTGGTTATCTGTTGTTCCAGATCTCTACTTACACCTATTTCCATTATCTCATCACCAATGATCATTTCATCTTCGGCCACTTTCGAATCTGAACGTAAATCGCAAAAGATTAAACATGGTGATAGGAACATCTCAATTTACTTAAAATTATCCAAAACTGAACCGTGAGTTTTATCATGGAGATAGTATTTACATATAATTACATGTAAAATCCTTTGAAGAATCAGGCACACCTTTACCGCCTTGGTTTGATGTTCCAAGAGGGGGAAGTGCTTGTAACAAATACGCTGCAACAGTGGCAAAATCTACAGCCTGACAATACAAACCATCATCAACCACCTTTGGAATCAACAGGCATGAAGTTATGCAATCACATTATTCGTAAAACAGGAAATTATAGATGACATCAATCATATTCAATCGACTTGAAAATTTATGAAATGGAAAGATCATAGCACACGGACAACAGATCAAAATCTATGAAGAATTGGCAGAACGCACTAGCAAGGAAATCTTGGAGGAAGACCATAGCTAATCAGATAATGTAACGCACATCAGGCAAATGGAAATTTCGCTGAGAAGTAAAACATTTCCATGAACGAGGAGGTTTATATCTGTTCAGAATTATGCCCAAAACCCATGTCTTTTCATAATCATTAGATATGGAAAAATAGAAAAGCCCAATAAGTGAGAATAAGATCAGTTCATCAGCAGCAGATGAAATGCTTAAAATAGAACTGTTTTGAAGGCATTTATCTTTTGAGGTTCGTTTCAATAAATGTTCTTTTCATTCTTCTTGTCTCGATAATAGTAATTAGCAGCAAGTTGGCCCTTGAGGCAGCTTATTCTTTTGTAATCCATGAATGGCTGGCAGAATCGGTTTCCTTATTATATGCAAATGTTAGAATCAAGAAGCTATATTTGTGTAGACCACTGAGATGTACGAACATAACTTTGAATTAGTATACAACTCCTTTGTTCTGGAAAAGGAAATAAAAAGGATGAAATGGTTAGAATCATCAAACGAATAGACAGCTCAAAATACTGATAGAAGGCTACGCAGTCAACAAATTCACTGAGACATCAATTATGGCCTGTAGAAACATGGATGGAAAGGCAAAATCATCTAGAGAGCAGATCCTATACCCAAGCCAATGAACCTGGCCGAGAGACAGCAACACAAGAAGCTTCCACCAAATTTCCTAAAAGGCAGGCATAACTTGGAAATTCACCGGATATGTCAGATGGCAGAATATTCTTATGATCTTTCACACATAATGCCATCTGATGAACATAATGTTGATACAGCTCTGGTGCAGCAAAAATCTGGATATGGATATAAAATTAGTTATATAGTCATAATAAGCTACATAGAAAATCCAAATCCATTAAAAAGCCATATATGTACAATCTCCGATCCACAATCACAAGCATTCAGTACATAGTAACTATATAGCATATGAAAGTTTGTTAAGTTTCACAAAAACTGACAGCTCGGGAGTTAACAGTAAGACATATTCATCTAAATACAAAGCAACTGAATTCATTCCTAATGAGTAGAAAAACATTCATGACGAATTTACTATAGAGTATAATATTGTAGTCAAAGTACCTCTTTCAGATGTGGAAAGACCCGCCAAAGGAAAGGAATTACTAGGATTTGGAAAGCAAAGCTCCATCTAGGATCACCATTTGAACAAATACATGATTCTTGATCCACGTGACCAATAATTTGGGCAAGAACACGCTCCAAAGCAGAGAGAATCAGACTAGAACCTTGAATGTTTTTCTAGACAAATTAAAGCATGTCAAATGTTCATGGTGAGAAACAAAAAACAATCAACAACCTTAGCAGTGAAAATGCATCAGGAATAGCCGCCATCTGTTCATAAGTATCTTTTGAGACACATTCAGGAGCACCATATATATCGAAGGAAATCAAAGAAAGTTAAGACCGAATGACATGACAACAAACAAAAAAAGTGCATTTCAGCCTACTGAATGTGTAAATTTGAATTTCAAGAAAGCAAGAGCAGTGAATGCTATGCATGCTCTTGATGTTAAATATAGAGAATAAAAGTTAAGAAGGGCAGTCACAAACTCTCAACTACCGTCCAGTTCTAGCCAAAGTTCAAGTTTGAAATAAAAATCGTAAGAACAAATCTTGCCCCGTACAATTACAAGCCCTCATAATTCAATGTTAATGTAAATATTCGATTTGTCATTGCTTTGTATTGCAAAAACACACTGTAACTTGCAAAAATGATAGATTTTTATAAACAAGCATGCAATATTCACGACAGCAAACTATAAAATAGCGAAGTATTATGTTCAAGCAGCAAATGAGCAACAAAGTTAAGATAAATGAAAAACAAGCCTCTGAATTACAATTTTTTTTGGATTAATAACAGCATTTTTGTTTCAAGAATTACCTTCCCCATGAGGATTAGTTCTCTGAACATCGAATACACATTCTTTTGTGAAATATAGCAGCCTGTGCTACAAGCCCAAGGAAGCCTCAGGTCAATCAACAATATTATTGCCTCAAGTAAGACATTTGCAGATTGATTTGATTTTTCAGGTGACAATAACTGATCTTTCAACTGACTCCTGTAAAAGCAAAATGGATCAGGTTGATCACTAAAAAAGGATTGGCTAACAACCGCACCTGGGACAGACTTATCATTGGTGGATCAGTTAGAAATGTGTATTCTTGTTAAATATCTAGAAAAGTAAGTGGTTATATGAGATTGGTTTCAATAATAAGTCACCACAGAATATGGACTTGTTTATTCAAATTCTGACTTGAATAGAACAAGATAGGTGGAAAAAAAAATTTGGGCGGAAGGAAATATGTAATGCACATTGGAGAACCATAAGCCACTTGAGCCCCCAAGAAACAGACCTATTTTCGTAGATTGCACTAATGCATGCATAAGCAAGGCGTTTAATCCGGTAATCTACTAAACCACGATTTGATGTGTAATCTGTGCTTGCAAAGAGGCTCAATACTTCCCCAGCTGAAAAAGTAGACAATGAAAAACAAGGTCAAACTATTATCCGCGAAAAAGAAAATACATGAAAAGCAAAGCAAAGCAAAGCAGAAGCAGAAGCCATTAGGAAGATAAAAATCCACTAAAAAAATATCACAGCAGCACATTCGGCCCAAGAAGTAAACGTCCATCACAAAAATCTTGATTTCATGTAAGCTTGGTGATAAATAAAGGCTAAAGCAGATCATGTACAAGAAACAAAAGGGACCCGGGTGTAAAAGCTTTTGCAAATAAGTGACACAGAAAGAAAACACAAGGATGCAAAAGACACCTGTCAGCATAGCAGCAACCAGGACACAGATAATAATAATCACGACACAATCATGTTCATAAATAACTTTATGGGTCCATATGTGTAACATAAACATAGGAGATACAAAGGAACCAAGTAACTCACCACTATCATGAACAAATTCAAGAAGCAATCGACATGTCTCCACAAGAACAGAAAAATCAGCCACATATCTTGGATTAAAGAAGAAAAGAAGCTGGCTGAGAAAACTCGAACTTGGGCCAAAGCACTGCCTGAATATGGGCGAGATAAGATGCAGTTATGAATAGGATGAAGCCCATCAGCATAGCAACAGGAATATATATTTACTGTACACAACAAATACATCAAAAGAAACTAATGAAGTCATAGATACAATCGCATTAACAACTGCAGTGCCGCAAACTTGAAGTAAATAAATAAACAAATAACAAATCCAGTTGTTCACCTATTGACATCTTGACAATACTGCCCATATCTCAAGAAAAACTTTTCACGGGTTTTGCCTCGTTCAACCTCCACCTCCCTTCTCCCTCTGAAGCATTTCTGCGAGTAGTATTTAGTTAAGTTCTAGAATTGGAAGAAAATTATGGATTTCTCAGCAGCTCATTGAACGTTTCATAAACACCCCCATGAGAGAAGGAAGAGAGGAAAAAACACTGGCAACATAAGGTTAATAATTAATAATAAATGAGGAAAAGCATCAATGAAGCCCCAAAAAATCATATTTGTTGTGTGGATAGAAAGAGCTCCAACATCAAACCAAAAAGCGAACCAAGTTGTTATATCAATGCACATATGTAAATCGTCAAACAAAAAAAAAATAAAATAAATTGAAATAAAGACTGTATATAGAAACACTACAGACATCAGCAAGACAGGTAACCCCATTGGTTATTTTCTTGCTTGTTGCTTGTTGCTCGTTGCATAATAACCAAGATCCAACCTTCTGCAACAAGAGAATGATTAGCAAGAACAGAAACAGCACAAGCAAAAGCCATGTGCCACTCTGATATGATAAGATCCCATCCTGGGGAGATTCCTTCGTAAAAGAATTCCAAAGTTCATCCTATCATTTAATTAGACATTGCACACTAAAAGGAGTAGATTATTTTTCAGACATGAATATTGTGCGGCTGTTCAATCATAGTCATTCCTGATTCATCAAAGAAATATCTAAAATTTTGGAAGATAGTGTGGTTTTTATCTTTCCATTCTCCTATCTAAGGCCAGATCTTAATAATATTCTTCCTAACCAACCCACAATATCAAACAGTGGTTCTTTTCCCTCTAAAGTAGAACCAAAAAGGGGATGAGCTAGAATGCCGACCATCTAAGCTTCCAGATCTCAAAACCAAGATCAGTACAGTGAACAGTAGTTCCAGAGATTGTTTATGTCTTAGATGTAACTATAGAAGCATATAAAACATTTTTCCTTCTAAAACTTATTAAATAACTAAAATGTGCATGCTTCCATAAATTGAGATCAAGCAAGTGAAGTAGAAGAACTTTAGAAACAGCTCAATAGTTGTATATCAAATCCATTTGTGAAATTCCCATTTCTCAACAACAAGCATTATAAACTAGAAGCTCAGTAACAAAACAACTACACTATTCAATTCTATTTTAGGCCTAAGCGCAAATCAACGGTGATATACATCACTTATAGCATTTCACCTCATTTACTATTTCCTGAGCCTTTTGTCTCAAATGTTTTGCAACTTCCAACACCTCATATTCTCATTTCAAACGTGAAGGTCTCATTTTTGTTTGAGCTCAATAATCCACTCGATTCTTCATGAAATAAAACTTTCTATCTTCTTTTTTCTTTCCATCTTCTTTTTACGAAGGAAAAACCATTGTTTATGTTCCCTATCTTCAGCCTTAAATACAGAACATTTCAAAAGGCAGGTGATTTATTTTGATCTTTGTTTCTATATGCATGTGGATGTTTTGGTGGTTTCTCGTTTCAACAGCCATTTTTCCTAATCCCTAGTAGTTGGAACTACAAGATAAGTTGTCTGAAGTACTTGATGATTAATCCAAACCCACTGCATAAGTGTTGTGAAGTACAAATGAGTCGTTTGAACTGCTGGCGGGTCCGCCGAATTACAAATTCGGTAGTTCATACGACAATCAAATAGTTAGGATTACTGAGCTAATGAGCTAGCAGTTGAAAACTCCATCCAAACTAAGTTAGAATAAAGGACGTAGTTGACAATACCATTCATGAAACTTATCCACAGCAGTTAGGGCTACACAATAAACACTTCAAGATTTTTAAAAAACTAAATATCGCTTAGTTTAGCTTGATACTGCCGATCAACAAAAAGCTCCAAATGAACTTGCTCCAAGTCGACAAAAAATCCCAAGCTACTAAGAATTACAAAAGTTTGTGATCAAATCAACATCCCACAGGTCACATTCAACTCTGCCCTTATTCCTTTGCTTCAATAGATTCTTTTTTAATCTATAAATGATGCAATGAACTTAATAAGAAGAATCTTCTAACACAAGCCAACTAATATTCAGGTTCAAACTACGAAAATAAGAACAATCACACCAACTTAAGGAAATCAAAAAATGTTCGTATTCCAACACCACCAAAAAGAAAAAAAGAAACAGAAAGAAAGTCGACCTGAATTATGAGAGCAGCAGAATTTTGCTGCCGCATCCAGAGGCGCCTGTTGCGTTCCAATCGCGTCTGCTCCAGAAGCTTCTGCCGGTCTCTCTCTTTGGAGCTCCGACCGCCTAAATCCACCCGTTTGCGCGACGATGGATCGCCGGAGAAAAACATTTTCTGTTTGTGAATTGTTTTCGTTGCTCAAAACCCTAATACTGAAGGCTCAAGAGTCCCGCTACACGAAATTTTGGTGAAGTTGAATCCAAAAAGAGAGAGAAAGGAATAGAACTATGGAAACCGAAGTTATTCAACCCAGAGAACTATAATTACGTGTATATTCAACCCGAACTATACTACTTTTTGATGTTGGTACCCAATGTTCCGATTTAATATATTTTTTTTATCACTAAAATTTTAAATTATTCCTTTTGGTCCAAACATAAACAAAACTGTTAAAGTTGATGCATGCCACCTTCCTAGCTGCAGTAAGTGGTGGGTTTCAATAAATTATACATCATTTTGAAGTTCTCGATTCGACCTATCCAACGATACTTTTTATTTTATCAGATGATATCTCAACATTCGTCAAAACTTTCGTTAAATGTTCTAAAAATTTTTGGCCAAAATGTACCTCAAAGTGTGACCGAGTGCTACCAAAGATCACACAATTGAATTTGTATGAAACATATACGTATAGAAAATCAAGCGGTAGTGTATCCCGATCATAAACCGATTCTCTCAATCGTCGAAGATAGTCCGACGAAATCTCTATTTTTCCCGATCGCCACAATTTGTCGAAAATTTAACTTCTTTGGCTTATATCCAGAGGTCTGGGGACTCGATCGATAATCGATACACAGTGCTTGGTTCCATAAGAAATTGGCCTTCTATAAATATATTTTTAATGAAAATTCAACAGTGAGATCCTTAGTAGAACTCAGTTAGCGAATTCTTTTAGAACCTTTAAAGGCGATTTTTCCGAAACTCGAGGTATGATATGATAAAATAAAATGTACAGTTGGATAGGCCGAGTCAAGAATTTGGAAATGCTATAACATTTGTCGAAATTTGCCATCACATGTGGCGGCGACGATCAACGAAAGGCGGCAACCATCATCTTTTTTTTTTTTTTCTAACGATATAACGACCTCGCATAAAAAAGACCCCAAAAGGGCAATGTACAAGGTAAAAAACCCCAATGCCTTACAATACTGAGAGGGTAGCATCATTGCACCCTAGCCAAACTACCAACATAGTACCAGACAACAAATAAAACATACACACTGCTACCCCAGAAAGACAACAACAACATCAAACACATAAAAACACTCTAGACCTGATAAGACCTCCACAGAATCACATCAAAAGGAAAAGCAAAAGAAACAGACAAGATAAACCACTTACACAAGACCTAATCTATCTCATCTGCCCCTCTACTATCCAGATGTTTTGTTGAGTTTAAAGTCTTGTCAGTCCATCATAGCAGCTTTGATAATCCAGCATTCAGGTTGCCATTTGCCTTCAAATACCCAAAGATTTCTAGCTCTCCACAACCACCATAAGATGTAAGTGGAGAGCTGGATTCTGTCTTCAGCAATCTGTAGCCATTGAACTCACCCACCACCACCATTGCTTGAAGGACATTTGCTCATCTTGCACTCTGTTCCAGCTAACTTGAGATAGCTTCCAAACTGTTTTGGCCTTAGGACACAGGAAAAGACAGTGTTCTTGTGTTTCTTCCTCTTCCCCACAAACTCTGCAGATGGTTTCAATTTGTAGCCCTCTAATCATCAAATTACAGTTTACTGGGAGAATGTTAGTAAAGCACTGCCAAATGAAAATCTTCACCTTACCCATAACTTTCAAATTCCAGCATCTTCTCCTGACTTTCTTGTTCCCACTAGCCATACCACTAGATTCAACCATAGACCTTTGCCCCAACTTAGCAGATAAAAAATTAGAGTAAGCCCTTTTGACAGAGAACCTACCCTTAGACAAGAACCCACATTGCCATTGATAAGAAGCTCTGGGGTTTAAGGTTTCGATTAGAAGAATTTTCTCAGCATCAGCCTCAATGAATAAGGCTCTAATGAGACTTGAGACCCACAACTCCCCTGCAAGCAATAGATCTTTAACCCCAAAAAAAATTCCATCCACCTCCACCCTCAAAGTGGGTTTTCTGCAATGCAAACCTGAGACCCAATTGGCCTCATTTAGCTTGGTGTTCTGACCGTTTCGAATCACAATACTCACCTGCTTTTGCAAGTCAGGGACAAGAGTAGCCCATGAGTTCCATAACCAGGATGCACCTCTTGTATTCTTCCAGTCAAAGATAGAACAGTCTTTGAAGTATCTGCTCTTCAGCACTCTGCACATAAGGATATCTGGATGCTCTATAAGTCTCCACAACTGCTTTAGGATTAATTCTTTTTTGAACAACTGCATATCCAAAAAACCCAGCCCCCTCCTCCTTAGGCACAGTCATTTTATCCCATGATAACCAGTGCAAACTCTGCTTCAGTGATTCACCCTTATTCCACCAGAATTTGGCAACAATCCTGCAAACTTCTTTACACAATTTCACAGGTAAAATGAAGCAAGACATCACAAAAACAGGTAAAGCACAAAGAACAGACTTCACCAAAGTTTCTTTCCCAACAATAGATAGAAAAGAATTCTTCCAGCTACAGATTCTATCTCTCACAACATCCACCACAAACTGAAAAGTGTCACATTTAGAAGTCCCAATTCCCAGAGGCAATCCCAGATACCTAGAGGACCTTTTAACAACAACCCCATGAAGAATGGAAGAGATAGAAGCCTGCAGACTCACAAAACTATTCTTGCTCAGAAATAAAGAGGATTTATGCAGATTAACTTTTTGCCCAATAAAGAATTGATATTTCTGCAGGATGTCCAACAACACCTCAACATGATTTTCATTAGCTTTACAGAATATAAAGGCATCATCCGCAAAGAGTAAATGGGACAACATAGGACCATCTTTAGAAAGCTTAATCCCTTTAAACAGCCAGTATTGATCTTATATTTCAAATAAGCAGAGAACACTTCAGAAACCAAGATAAAGAGGTAAGTGACAAAGGGTCACCTGTCTTATACCTCTTGAAGAAGAAACATAGCCACACACTCTGCCATTAAGGTTGAAAGAGAAAGTAGGAGAAGATATGCAATTGATCACCCACGGAACAAATTTCCCATGAAACCCCATTTTGCACATAATCTTCCTAATACACTCCCACTCAACTCTATCTTAAGCCTTTTCCATATCTAATTTAACAACCATAAACACATTTGGCCCAGATCTGTGCGTGAAAGAAGTGAAAAACTTCCTGAGCAATGACCACATTATCCAGTAACAGTCTCCCAGGCACAAAAGCAGTTTGCTCTGGGCTAATGCGAGCATCTAAACAGCACTTCAACCTCTCAGCCAGCAATTTTGAAATAATTTTATATAAAACCCCACAGAGACTGATTGGTCTGAAGTTAGTCAAAGCTTCAGGATACAGACATTTTGGAATCAGAGTGATAATAGTGTGCTTCCAGTTTTTCAAAAGATGCACAGTTTTAAAAAAACTACACACAACTTTACAAACATCATCTTTCACAATAGACCAATATTTCTGGACGAAGAAAGCAGACATACCATCATCACCAGGTGATTTCTCTAGAGCCATAGCAAAAACAGTGGCTTCGATCTCCTCCTCATCAACTGTTTTGATCAGGTCATTATTTAATGCATCGGAAATAGAAGCAGGAATATGCTGAAGGAGCTCATCACCCCCACTGGACCCCTCAGATGAGAACAAATTAGAGTAAAAAGATGATATATGTCTCTCCATGGCCTCTTGAGTGTCACAAATTTCTCCAGCACCAGTGATGAGTTTGGATATGGAATTTGATTTCCTTCTCTGAGAAGTAAAAGCATGGAAAAATCTGGAATTCCTGTCACCAGCTTTGAGCCATAAAGCTCTAGATTTGACTATCCAGAACCATTCTTCCTCCTGATGAGCATGATCCAGTTCAGCTTTAAGAGATCCTCACTCCTCCCAACCTCTGTCCTTTTCTTCCTCCCTCAAAGCTTCCAGTTTAGTAGTGAGCACAGCTATAACTTCTTCATTGTTCATGTGGATAGGTTTATGCCAGGCTAGCAGAGCCATTCTGGTACTTTTGATTTTTTTATGCACTTAGTACATAGCAGACCCATCCACCTTCACTTGCCATCCACTCTTTATAGCCTTTCTCCCTCTAAAGCTGCCCAATTACTGCAGAACTAGAATCTTTTATGCCTTTTCCCAATTTCCTTGTCAGTGTAAAAAAGAATGACATTATGGTCAGAGGCATTTCTGAAAAAGTTGGAGGCTTCCATATTAGGAAATTTAGTAAGCCAGTCGAAGGACACATAGATTTTATCCAATCTTTCTTCAACATATCTATCTCCAGCTCGATTGTTTCCCCAGGTAAAGAAGGACCCCAATTGAGCCTCCTCATGCATCCCCATGTTCAGAATAAAATTTTGAAAACCCACAAAGCTATTCAGATTTCTCCTAACTTCACCTTTCTTCTCTTCATTAGAAACCAGATCATTCCAGTCACCTGCCAATAACCAGGTGCTCCCCCACTTCACCTTACTGCCTTCAAGGAACTCCCATTGTCTGCCCCTAACACTTCTATAAATACTCAGATAGACAAAAATGATCCAACTCCAGTCAGCCATCCCAACCCCTTTAAGTTCAACTTGCAGACAGAAATCATTAGCAATGATTTGCTTGATCTCAATGAAATTATCCCACAGTAATAATAAACCTCCTCTAGTCCCCTCTGGACTTACAAGATGCCATCTATCTTGATAGCCAAGCTTCCTACTGTAATACCCCATTTGAATAGAAATTATATAGTATTTATATTAATAATTATTGTCATTATTATTTGCCTATTTGTATTATTATTATTATTATTATTATTATTATTATTATTATTATTATTATTATTATTATTTATTTGTCATTACTTGTTTAATTGTCTAAATTGCCTAATTGATTTAATGTGATTAATGTGTATTATTAATAAATAATTATTGTGTGTATTATATGTATATATATTTATAATCCGACTTTATTTTATTTATCGCTGCGTCGAACCCTCGAGCATTATTT